TCAAGGTAAAAAAATAAAAATGTAAGAAAAATAAAACTGAAAATGTTTGGCAGTGAGTTACCGGACATGTGCTTTTTGTTTGACAGTAGTACTTTCTCCCATCCATTAGCACACGGATGATGAAAACAAATCAAATTATTTACTTTCAAAGGTATTGGATGATCAAGATGTAAATAAATCTAACAAACTATTAACAATGCACTACTAGCCTTACTACAATGAATAGAAACATAATTATTCAAGGTAAAAAAATAAAAATGTAAGAAAAATAAAACTGAAAATGTTTGGCAGTGAGTTACCGGACATGTGCTTTTTGTTTGACAGTAGGTTACTGAATACGTATTTTTTGTTCGGCATTGGATTATCAGATATGTATTTTTTGTTCAACAATGTGATTCCGAACTGTTTGATTTTGTTTGATTCTGGTACACTGAACAAAAGTCGAACAATCATCCAAAAACGAAACAAAAACATAAAAAATAAAGGAAAAAAGTTACCATTTCACTTTTTTGCTGATCTTTCATTATCATTTATTCAGCCATTGTTTGTTTTTTTTTTTTCTAATTTTTAATTTTTTTTTTGATGAAAACACTATGATTATCACTTTTTGAAAGTAGATATATAGTAGAAAAGAAGAAATGAAAAGGAAGGGAAAAAAAAAAAGGGGAAAAAAAAAAAAAAAGGGATTGAAGTGTAATAAGTGTGAAGAGATAATCAAATTTATTTAATTTTTATCATTTGTCCTTAAAAATAATTTCACACATGGGTAAAATTAGAAAAATAATATTCCAAATAGTATAGACAATAATTGATTTTTTAGTAATAACTTTTTGAATTTTTAACTATTTTAGTTGATTTTCAAACTTTGCTCTTAACTCTTAAAAGTATTATATATTTATTTACTTTGGCATTTGCCATTTTTTTGTCAATCTACTTCCCAAACTAATTTCTGTTCAATTTTGAATGGAAACCACGTGGCAAATAGGTAAATTACACTTTGCTCCTCCTAAGTTTCACAGTTTCCTACTTTGACCTTAAATTTTTTTTTTCTTATTTTGCCCATAATGTTTCTAATTTTTTTTCCAATTTTTCCCAAAGTCAATTTCTATCCAGTCTTAAGACCCAAAACCTAAAACTCAAAATTCAAAACCCAAACCTTAAAATCCAACCCCATATTTTCAACACCCTTTCTCTCTCTTCTCTTCAAATTCACTCCTAAAGTTCCACTTCTCCTTTTATGACTGTCATTCATATGCACCCAAACACCTCTTTGCTTGGTTGAGTTTTTATAATCTATTTTCTAAAAAAATTTTAAAAACTAGTTCGGAAAAAAAATATAAAAAAAAATACAAAATAATTTCATACAATTTTTTTTTGGTGAAAATATTATTGAAAAATAAAAAAATAAAATTTTTGGTATTATTTTTCTCAACCTTGTTTATAATTACTCAAAAAAAAAAAAAAAAAAATAAAATAAAAAAAAATCAAAAACAAGCTCTAAAAGCTTAACCAAATTTTAATATAATTTATTTTTATGCCATATGGATACGGAAGTGGATTTTTCATCCATGGTACTTTATTTTGGGGGCAAATTGAGAAAAATTATAAATATTAAGGGATAAAACGGAAAAAATAGTATATTTTAAGTACTAAAATGGGAGAATTGTGAAACTTGAAAGGGCAAAGTGTAATTTATATATTTTATTCCTCGTGGCTGCTAATGTAATATTTTTCATTTAAAATTGAATGAAATTTTATTTTGAGAATAAATTAAAAAAAAAAAAAGTTTCAAACGTTAAGAGTTGAAGTGGAAAGAAAAATACTTTAAAAATCAAAGTAAAAAAATTATGAAACTTAAAGAAAGCAAATGGTGGCTTTTAATTGCACTCCATTTATTTGACACTTCAATTTATAATTTTTTTAATACTATTTTACCCCTCAACCAAAGTACCAAATAACCAAATCCTTAACCCTTACTTCAACATCCCCTTCCTAGCTCCAACAAGATCTCCGCCAGCCCTCCTAACTCCAGTAAGCGTTTTCCAATCCCTTTCCTGTCGCTGCCACCTCCTTTATGCATACCTTATCAGTTCTCCATGCCATATCCTCATTCTCTTCCTTTTTCATTGTCGCAACCTCCTCCTCGTCATTGTTGCCTTCCCTTTCTTCTCTTCCTTTGTCTCGGTGATTTCTTTCTTGTCATTGTCACCATCTTTTCCTAATGTTTCGCCACCAACCCAAACCTTTCTTCTCATTTTTGAAGCTCTCTCATTTTCCTCCATCTTTTTTCTTCTTTCTCCTCTTCTAAAACCCTAGACTTGAAAATATCTTGGGTTTTGAAAGAAGAAGAAGAAGAAGAAAAAATATGAAAGGGGTTCGCGACTATAGGGTTTCGGATGAAGAAGAAGAAGAGGAAGAAATGAGGAAGATGATGAGGGTCGTGATCGGAAGGGGACCTAGCTTGGGCTTTGTTGACGGCAAAGGAGATGGTAGCGACAAAAGAGGTGGTGACGAAGAGAATTAAAGGGTAGGGGTGAGAGTGAGGAATTACGGTTAGATGTGGGAAGTGTGGTCAGTGAGTGGTTAGAGTGGGTTGGAAGGGGGAGTGTAGTGTGTATTATTTAGAATGTTCAAAGTGAGGAAAAAAAAAAAAGAAGGGCAAATTATCTACACCTCCCTTGAGGTTTAGCTAAATTACAGATTTTCCTTAGAATTTCAGAAATTACATCCCGTCCCGAAGGTTTATATTAGCATAGCAATTTAATCCCTACCGTTAACTAAACATTAAGAATGATTACCTGACATTACCAAAATATAAATTGATGGACAATATTGCCTCTGTTGAAATCCCTTTGATAAATCAACAAAATTTACAAAAGAATTACATTAGATGAAAAAAAAAAAAAAATTAAGTTTTTGAAACCATATTTGATTTGTTGTTTAGAAAAAAAATTCAGAATTAAAAAAGTAAAAATAAAAACTAATTTAATAAAAATAAATATGAAAAAATATATTTAATTTGTAAAAATTATTTCTAACCACTCAAAAGATCAAATTATATAAAAATAAAAATAATTTTTTATTTTTTATTTATTAACCAAATTAATTTAAATTTTTTTTAAAAAAAATTTTAAAATAAATTTCTAAAAATCAAACCAAACATATTCTAAGAATTTTTTGACAAGCCATTTCTTGTATGTTTAACTTATTTAATTATTTGTTAATTTTATGATATTTTCACTGTCTAACACTACGACATATAAGAGTTTTAGAGATCAATTTTTTTGATCTCTAAAGTAAAAATTTTGTTGCAAAAGACATTTAAGGACTAATTTCTGTCGTCGTAAGGATAGTCGCTAAAAAGTCATTCTAAAAATTCAAAAATAAGGTTTTTAGCAATAAAATTTCGAAAATGTCAATAATTAATAGACTTTTAGAGACAAAATAATTTGGTCTCAAAATGGTTTTTTTTTTAGACAAAAAATTTGATATTAAAAAGATAATAATTAATTACTAATATTTAATTTTCGTTGCTAAAAATATAATGACGACGCTTTTCGCAGCAAAAATAGTTGGTCCCCTAAAAATAATTTTGTCCCTAAATTTTGGTCTCTAAAACTTTAATTTTTGGTAGTGTGATAAGTGTTTTTTTATTTTAATTTTGTATTTCATAACTTATTTAAAAATAATAATTTAGCTAAATCTTAGGAGAATTTGTAATTTAGCTAAATCTCAAAAGGGTGTAGGTAATTTACCCTTATTTGTCAAAAGGGTATTTTAGTCAATTTATGATATCCATTAACGAAGTTAATCGTGATGGGACAAGATGTAATTTTTAAAATCTCAAGAAAAAATTTCTAATTTTGATAAACCTCAAGGGAGGTGTAGGTAATTTTCTAAAAAAAAAAAAAGAAAATTCAAATTTAAACATGAAGTCCCCGAGTAAAATATTAAGGTGCCTTTCGAGCCTCCGAAAAGCAAATTGTAATTTACCCAAGTTTTGGTGGGATTTTTCCGAACCGTCCATTTCGTTGAACATATCATCTATGTAATAAAATTAAATTGCTCGTACATGAATAATTATAAGATTAAATCACATTTATTTTTAAAAAATTTAACAAAAAAAATAATTTAAAAAATAGACATAATTTACAATTAATCTAATATTGTTGCTATCATTCACGGATCAAACTTTTTTTTTTTTGGAATAAATTAATGGAATAAATCTCCTTAAATTATAACTCATTTGCAATTTGTCTCATAAACTTCAAAACTCAACAGTTTACCATTTAAAAATATTACCTTGTTATAGTTAATCTCTTCTATTAAAATTTTGATAAGAGTTTACACAAAATCATATCATATTTAAAGCATGCGACATATTTATTGAATTTTTAAGAAAATAATGCCCTTATAAAGTGATCTCAATTGTACTTTGCTACCAAATTAAAAGAGACAAAGTGTAAAAAAGATCACTAAATACAATGCTACGTAGCTCAAATTTTGTGGCTCAAAAGTGGCTCAAATGACCAAAACGACGTCGTTTTGAGTACAGAACAACATAAAAATGACGTCGTTTTGGCCATTCGAGTCACTTTTGAGCCACAAAATTTGAGCTACGAGTCATTTTCCTATCTTAAAATATCAATAACGAGTACTATTGTCCTAAAAAATTAATAAGTGCTTCATATATATCACACATGATCCGATTCTATTTAAATCCTAGAATAAAATCCTAACAAAAAAGTGTAAAGTATAACAAGATAAGCGAGTAATAATTTAAGCAAGTTTACTGTAATTTAACCTTTTTTCTGTGAATAACTTACTCCACTCAATACTGTTATGTGTTTCGAGCTGAAAACTGTTTTATTGGGTTTGTTATGCATAGAAAGGTTCATACCTGATACAACATTTGGTATCTCATAACTATATAATACACATAATATAAGAACAAAATGAATACCAACATCTACAAAACAACAAACACCACAGGACAGGGCTGCACAAAATCAATCCAGAATTTTTATAAATCTCAACACTAAATTGGGCTTCACACAATCAAAGTTGACTAATCACTCAAAGCAATAGAATATCTTTAGTTGCCCTTCTTATTTATGGTTCTTCTTTGAAGAGTATCATCAACCAATGGACGGCCACAACAATGGATTTGCATACCTCAAGAAGAAGCAGCAGTGGTGGTAGTGGTCGGGTTGAAAGCTTTCTGCTCTCCACAAGACAGTACGTCATGCGGGCCTGCCTCCTCTCGGCCAACTACCATCAAGTCGAGGTAATAAAGGTAATGAGAGATGATGTCGTTCATGGAATCAATGTCACCTTGGCCACAAACACTATCTCCGTAAAGGACATTCATGGTGGTGCCGAAACCAGGAATCCGCTTCTCCATGGTATCGTTCTTGGTGGGCTTCCAGTTTCCAACAAAAATATCATGGGCGGAAGGCTGTGCCTTCTTGATTGCTGTCATCCACCTCCATATTGCAGCCTGGAAAGCAAGGGTTGCATTCTGCTCAATGTATTCAGGATGGTTCAACAGATCAACATTTAGGGCTTCCCCAGTAGCTCCATAGTTGTTGTTCCTGGGCGAATGAAAAATAAATAAATAAATAATAATAATAACAATAACAACAACAACGAGCCCTGAAATTCTGCCTAAAAAACAGTAAAATAAAATAAGTTTTTTCTAGAAGTGAAAAGGGGAAAAAATTGAAATTACAAAGACAACTGTTGAGCATCCAAACTTAAATCTATTTGTGTTGTTACAAACCATTTACCCTTGATGTTGCTTCAAGACACAACCTCAACCAAAAGCATACTCAAACACGAAAATGGAATGACACACAAAAAGAAAAACAACAAAAACAAACAAAAATTAAGAAGGTAGAATATAGACAAGAAGATAATACCAGTAAATAGGAATAGCACCACGACCATAGTATTCAGCACCAGGAGTGCAAGGATAGGTGAATTTGTAGAAGTCGTCACAGTATGATTGGCTAGGACTAAGTTCTTTGTTATAGCAAAGACCCCACGCCATCGGTCCTCCGGTGGCCACTCCATAACCACCTGCATCAATTACGATAACCATTATCATTTTTCATTACTAGATTCACTACGGTTATTAAATGCAACTTAAGTAATCAAATTCATTGAAAACCAAACTAGGACCAATTAAAAATCCTCAAAAGTTCTTCTTACATGAATTTAATATCAAAATAACATTTGAAGAAAAGATAAAATTGGAAATCATTTCAAAATTGTAGAAAACAAGGAGTCTTGGCTCCATCTATAACCAAATCAATTAAGGAAACAACTTGATAAATCAACTCAATCCAACAATATAAATCAACTTGATAAATTCATTAATGGATTACCCAATCTTTTTGCCCATAAAATTCGACACGTTCTTAGTCAACCTACTGGTATTATAGAATATGATAATTTAATTTATGGTGATATAATTAGTACCATTCAAAAAGAAGGATTAAAAATGTGCATAGACATGAAACTTAGTCAAAAAGTTGCTAAGAATAAACACAGCTAAATACAAATTAGGAAATTTCCGCGAACAATATGGTCTACCTCCTGTTGCACCATCATGATACAAACATAATAACAAGAGATTTTCACACAAATACCCTGCTAAATATAAGAAGAAATATTCACCTACCAAATCACCTGATAAGTATTATGCTAAACCAAAAAAGAAATATCACAAGCAAACTAATCACTTTAAGAAGTCAAAATCTACCCAATATGTCACTTGTTACAATTGTGAAAAAAAGAGTCATTATTCTAGTAAATGTAAAGTTAAAGAAAAACTTAAGAATTAATTAGTAAATTAGAAAATCCTGAATTAAAAAGAAAATACACTAATAAGTTAAAATCTTTACTAATAAATAAAGATAAAAAATAGCATCAAGATAAACCAATTATTAGTCTCACAACTACTTTAGAAAGATTCTGAAAAAATAAACATAATGAAAATACACTAACCATTCAAGAGTTAAAAGCTAAAGACAAATCATTAGCAGAAGAAATTGCAAAATTAAAAATCAATAAAAATCTTAATGATTTCCAAAATAATAATGATACTTCTCTGATGAATCTACCTCTAGCTCTAGTCCTAATCCTAGCCATGTTATCTTTGATAATCGATCAACTAAATCTAATAGTGATAATCACAATGATAGTCATCGTTTAAATATTATTAATAAAATTCATATTCAAAAATAGCATTCGAAAGTCAAACTAGTCATTAATGATTTTAAAATAGAAGTCATAGGCCTCATTGATACCGGCGCTGATTTAAATTGTATTTAAGAAGGTTTAATCCCCACAAAATATTATCATAAGACTAGTGAACAATTAAGTTTTGCTAATGAAAGTCAAATGCATATTAAATATAAATTACTCAAAGTACGTATCAAAATAATGTTTGTTTTAAAACGTCCTTTGTTCTAGTCAGAAATATGACCGACAAAGTCATCCTAGGAACTCCTTTTATTTTTTTACTATATCCATTTACCACTACTAACTATGGAATAACCACACAAGCTTTTGGTCAAACAGTGAATTTTGAATTCTTGTCTCCTCTGGAAATCAGAGAATTAAATCAATTAAAAGAATATTCTATATCCCAATCTATTAATTAATTAATTAACCAAACAACTCAAATTTCTCAAAGAAGAAGTAAAATAATCCAATTCTTATATCTAAAATTGATAAATTCAAAAACCAATTAGAAAATACCGTTTGTTTCACTTTACCTAGTGTTTTCTTGCATAGGAAAAAATATGTAGTTACACTCCTTATACTAAAAATTTTAATGAAAGACAAATTCCTACTAAGTCTCGACCTATTCAAATGAATCATGAATTAGTGGAAATGTGCAAAAAAGAGATTAATAAATTATTAAAAAATATCATTAGTAATAGTAAGTCGCCTTGGTCTTGCCCTGCTTTTTATGTTGATAAAAATGCTAAACTTGAACGTGGTGTTTCACGATTAGTCATTAATTATAAACCGTTAAACAAAGTTTTAGAATGGATACGCTATCCAATCCCTAATAAAAAGATCTCATTAAAAGACTTAGTTAAGCTGTTATCTTTTGTAAATTTGATCTTAAAAGTGGATTTTAGCAAATACAAATTCACCTTGATGATCGCTATAAAATTGCCTTTACTATACCTTTTGGCCATTATGAATGGAATGTCATGCTCTTTGGATTGAAAAATACTTCTAGTGAATTTCAAAACATTATTAATGAAATTTTTAATCCCTTTAGTCATTTTCCCATTGTCTACATAGGTGATATTCTCACTCGATGAACATTGAAAACATCTTAATTCCTTTCTCTATATTATCAAATATAATGGTCTAGTCATTTTTTGCTCCTAAGATAAGCTATTGCAAACTAAAGTTAGATTTTTACGATATGATATCCACCAAAATACTATTCTTCCTATTAGTCGATCTATTGAGTTTGTTTCTAAGTTCCCTGATGAAATCTTAGACAAAATCCAGTTACAACAGTTTTTAGGTTCCTTAAATTACATTGCTGAATTTCACAAAGACCTTAGGAAAATTTGTCAATTCCTTTTTGATAGGTTGAAAGATAATCCTCCTCCTTGGCCTTTTACTCATATTGCTATTGTTCAACAAGTCAAAAAATTTGGCTTTCCTATTGAAAATTCATTCAAAATTATTCAGACTGATGCTTCTGATGTTGGTTATGGTGGCATTCTCCTTCAGAAAATCACTCCCCAGTCATCTGAACAAATTATTCGTTTCCATTCTGGTATTTAGAACAAAACACAAAAATTATAGTACTATTAAAAAAGAAATTTTATCTATTGTTTTATGTATTAGTAAATTTCAAGATGACATTTTAAATCAAAAATACCTATTACGTGTTGATTGCAAAAGTGCTAAATATGTTTTGGAAAAAGATGTTCAAAATATTGCTAGTAAACATATTTTTGCTCGATGGCAATCCATTTTAAGTATTTTTGATTTTGATATTGAATATATTCCCCGTAGTCAAAATTCTATCCTTGATTTCCTTGCCTGAGAATTTTTACAGGGAGGATAGTGCATCATGCCTACTCCTTATTGTTCTACAAACAGATTACAAGTCACAAGATACCGCAAAACTATTCGCTATTATAAGTTTAAAATATCCTATTTGAAGTCACTATAAAATGACCCTTACCTTCATCAAGACCCTTACCTTCAATTCAATCAGATTAGAAGTTATTGCAATTTCATTGCTCATTACACTAATCTAGTTTACTTTCATATGGATAGATTAAATGTCCTCAGTGGATGCTAATCTACTAGCATTTTTCTTACAGATGTCAAGCCACAAACCTACTACAAAATCTCTTGCCAGTATGCCATCCAGTCAACCCATTGTTGCACCTCCAATTGATCTAGTCAACCGATATCAAATTCTTGGTAATATTCCCAAACCTAGTTACACTTTGACTCTGGTTTCTGACCCTTTTGCTTGCCAGTCAATTACGCTAATGCCTCCTAACAAGTCTACCCCATGAACAGATTATGTTTTTAAACAATCATTCAAATCTTTTTTACAAAGAACCAATCCATGAAAATATCCACAATGTTCTTGAATTAGTCAAATCTTATTTCCCTAATAGATGGCATTTCATTCCTTCTCATCCCGATAAGTCAATAACCTTTTATAAGGATATTCTTTTCCACCATAAGTCAATAGTCATTAAACCTATCTATGATCGAGTCCAGACCAGTAAAATCATTTATCATTCTTTGTACATTCATAATATTGTTTCCATGGAAGAATGGGGTCTCCCTTTTCTACTACGAGACCTTCCCAACCATGATATACAATATAGTTACTATGATTACATTGATGCTTGGTTCAAAATCCTCCTACATCAAAATGAGTCATATAGCCATTTTTGGTTTTTCTCATTTGACCACAAATTCAAATCAGAATTCCCTTCTTGGTTCTTGACATGGTGGTCACAGCATGGTGCCATCCCAGAAATCATCCCTTCTGAATTAATAGAACAAGTCAATTACTTCTCTTCAATTTACAAGCTTAGCCAGCATAAAAGTCAGTTTCCTTGGTTACTCCATTTTGTCCAAATATAAAGTCCCTTGGATTTTTAAATGGCAATACAGTCTATCCAATGACATAGTTAGTCGTCAACATTTTGTTAAATGGTGGGATGCATTCAAAGCCCATTGTATTATTGAACAAGTCCAGCAAGAATTTCCAGTTAACATTCATGCCCCAACTCCTGCAATGGTCAAGTCTCAGCAAAACCCAAATGCTTCAGTCACCCAAGGAAGCCCACTTCCTCTCACTACAGTCAGACTTGGAAGCCCATCAACCAACATTAAGCCTTCCAAATCCAAGTCCTCCAAGGCCAAGCCCAAAGGAAAGCCCAAGTCAACCTCTAGTGATGAATTAATTCAAATGGCCAAATTATTGTTGGCCAAAGCAAAGTCACAAATTGAAAGATGAAGCCTCAGATGATTCAGCCTCGTCTGAAGCCTCAACCAGTCATGATCCATATGGCCCACAATTCCAAGATGCTCCGGACCCATATGCCTAAAAAAGTCATTGGATTTCATATATATACATCAGATTCAGTCACTATTCTTACTTTGAGTAAAGCTGCTCATATATATATATATATTGATTCTCCATCAGTCAACTGTGCAGTCACGTTTCCTCACTGCAAGTAAAAAAAAAAAAAAGAGTAAAAAAGTTCTCGGTCACAGAAAGATGCTCTCAACATTCTCGGTCATAGAAAGACGCTCTCAGCACCCATGTGCCTCTTGTTTTCCAACTTTTGAAGTCACAAGTTTCATAGTATTCTCCAGCTTTTGAAGTCATAAGCCTCACAACTCCAGTCACAGGCCTTACAGTTCCCAGTTTACAAGCTTAACAGTTATCCACTTTGCCTATAAAAGAAGCTCCTCAGTCAAGGCTAGTTCAGAGTTGGAAAGAGGTTAAATTTTCTTTCGCAGTTTCTGTCAAAATAGTATTCAAATTCAGTTTTCAAGGATGCAAGTTGTAGCTGTATTTTTCAGTTACTTCCAGCAAAC